GGACGCTGAATCGTATCACCTTAAGAACTCAGTATGTTTCATTCCCAGGTTGGAAATTTTCTCAACTTCCCTGGGCATAGAGTATCACTGTGCTTGTAATAATACAGATTCATACATTGGTAGGCATAGAAAGCTTTCAATTAATTACTTGACTGAGTTCTTAAGGTATACTGAGTTCTTAAGGTGGTATGGTTCAGCGTCCACAAATCATAGGCACTTTCACTGCCACTTTGAGGCACTAAATTATCATCACAGTTTTGTTATTGTATGTTTTCCGGTAGCAGATAATGGACTCCTGGAAAAAGCAAAGTGGAACAAGAGCCCGAGGTTCTGGATCGCATCACCTTAAAACTATTTCTATGTAAAGATCCCTTCAGACCGATCACGTTTGTCATAGTGGTCTTTGGTTTTTTGTTCATGATTCCGTTCTGGGACTTTGAACAGTTATCTGAAGTCTATGACTTGGAAAATTGGTAACTACACTGCAATGCTCATTTCTGTTTGCAAACTTTGTAATCATATCAAACAGAAATGAATAAATAGTGTATTACTGAATTATAAGTGGGGATGGGTGGCATTCACTAGCCCGAGAATACCCTCCACATGCTAGCCTCTTCACCAACCACACATCAGTACACACTTATCGAGTCAGTAATTTTTACCGAGTTTTTAAATAGCGGAACTCTTCGGTAAAATTTAAAAAAAATCTGTGAAAAATTCAAAGTTGAGAAAATGTGTTACGAAAATTTAGAGACTAACTTCTGTTAACCCCGTGTAATTATGAAAAATATATTTTTTTTTTGATTTTATCCAATCTTTACGAATAACAGTCATTTGAATTTTAACCGAGTCAGTAATCCAAAAACCAGTAAAAATACTAACTCCTGTAAAAAAATCTAAGTGTGTATACAGAAGCAGCGGAGCTCCACACTCCTCCATCAAAACAGCACCGCAGCTGAGCTGAGAGTGCTATGAAATAAAAGGGACATCGACTTATTACCACTACCTACTTCTTCTCTTCCTTCCGCTCTCAGAATTCGCCGATTCGGTGTCTCTCGTTGTGTTTTCTGCTGAGACTGAGCAATATTCGATACCGCGAAACATCTCCGCAGTTATGTTTTCTTTCGGCGCAGGAGATGTGCGGTAATCAAAAGTTAAGAATGTAGCTAAACATTTACAATAACATTCTACCAAATTGTCATGTGCGTAGTCCACTGCAACAGTCGAACGTACGAACGAATAGGGTGACTATAGCGCATTTTATGAAAACGTCACAAGTTTTTATGGCTGTTTTAAATCAATAATTACGAAGAAACCATAAAGCCTACAAGGTTACTACCAAAGGCACAAATCTAGAGAACTGCATGGAAAATGTTTTGTAGAACAACTAATTAAACAGAAATGAAAATATTCAACTTAAAAACACTAAAATGTATGAAATTTCACCAATTTTTTCGGTACTTTCAACATACTTTTCAATTTTAATGTATGATAATTAACTTTAATCGAGTTCTTTTTCAAAGAGCATTGATAGCTAAGACTTTAATCTTTCATTTGGTATGTTGAAATCAGAAAACCACATTAAGATTAAAAAAATATAGCTAACCAAAGTTGGCAATACAAAAAAATATAAAATGTTGAATAACTCACTTAGCAGTCATTTCCGACCCTATGTTTCATGGGGATTTTTTCATAACTTTAAGAGCCCTATCTACCCTAAAAATATGTAAAACCCGGAACCAAACACCCTGTATAAGCCCAGCCAAACAGACATTACACTCGCAATTTGTTTATCGAACAAGCATTTAATGGTCAATTTAAAAGTATCTTAGTTGGTAGTACCGCCACCTAGTCAATTTCCTTGCGTTTGACGTTTACACATTACCGCCATCTCTTCAGCGTACTACCCACCACAGTATACTCAACAGATGGCGGTAATGTTTTAGCGACGATGTTTTACAGTGAAAAATATTCAATGTGTTATGTCTGTTTGTCTGTGATATAAGATACACCGGGGCATGTGGGAATGCGGGGTATGTGGGAATGGTGGATGTAACTCATTGTAACAATAATTTCTAGTATCAAACCCGTCTGAAAATTTAACCTATAGTAACAAAGCATACATTGTATAGAAAACAATAATTATTGTTTTCGTCCCCATCACCAGGAAGCAATTTTTGTCAACATATCACTTTTAACTAGCAAAGAAAGTTAGGCACACTTATTTTTATGCAGCAAGTTTTAAATAGTTTGCATCGTCAGTACATGAGTCCCAAAAGCCACGGTAATTTGCAGCACCCGGGGCAAGTCAGACCTACCAAAATCAAAGTTTTTAAACCAATGTTATCGTTTCTTTTCGAGCATATCGTGATTTTTTTTTTATTTTTTTTTTCGAAAACATTACATTTTAATCTAATGTACACCTGGTCACCGGTCACCTGTCACCAGCTTAACAATCTATTTCAGTCATAATTGTAAATAAAACTTTGTTATATAAAGTAATGTATAGCGAACCCCGTAACGTGGGTTGATCACCTTTTCGTGATAAAGGGTGTCCACGATGAAATTGCCACACTATGAAATTGCTCTAACTTTTAACCGTTGGGTAGAATTTAATGAAAATTTGGGTGGATTTAGTTCATAGTGCATTATTTACATCCTGCAAGTTTTAAAGTCCTGTGATCAAAACTCGCGGAAATGGAGTCGAAAGAACAGCTCGTGCGTGATAAAATCTTGCGCATTCATCACGAGAACAAGGATCTCTCGCATCGTTCCATCGCTAAAACGTTGGGAATCGTGAATTCCACGGTGTCGCGAGTGATTAAGCGGTTCGAGGAACGGTTGACCACCGATCGGAAGCCCAGAAGTGAAGGAAAAAGTATTCCGTACAACACCAAAAATCACAACCGCGTAGTTGGGGCCTTCAACCGAAATCCGAACGCCTCCGTTAGGGATGTGACTAAGAAGCTGCACCTAAGCCGAAGTTTTGTCCAGAAGGCCAAAACTAAGGCTGGGCTTCGAACGTTCAAGGTACAAAAGGCCCCTAATCGCGACGAGAAGCAGAACAAGTCCGCCAAAACCCGTGCCAGGAAGTTGTACCTCAACATGCTGACGAAAGTTGAATGCTGCATCATGGACGACGAAACATATGTGAAGGCCGACTTCAAACAGATCCCCGGCAACCTGTTTTTCACGGCCAAGGATAAGTTCAGCGTTCCGGAGCATGTCCGCACTCAGAAGATGTCCAAATTTGCGAAGGAATTCCTGGTTTGGCAAGCCATCTGCACGTGCGGGAAGCGGAGTGCACCTTTCGTGACCCAGGACACGATGAACGGACAGGTGTACATAAAAGAGTGCCTCCAGAAGCGGCTGCTTCCTCTCCTGAAGGCCCACAACGTCCCAACAATCTTCTGGCCGGATTTGGCCTCATGCCACTACTCCAAGGACGTGCTGAAGTGGTATGCGGACAATAAGGTCAATTTCGTGCCGAAAATGTTCAACCCTCCCAACACTCCGGAGCTCCGCTCCATCGAGAAGTACTGGGTGATTATGAAGCAGCACCTTCTTAAACGACCTAAGGTGGTGAAGACAGTCGAGGAACTGAAGAAAGTATGGGTTTACATGCAAAAAACGGTTGATTCACAGGTTGTGCAGAATCTTATGGCCGGGGTTAAGGCCAAGGTGCGGGCATTTGCGTATGGACTGTAAATAAAATACGAGTAAAATGGTAAAATGAAGTTTAATAGTTATTTCTCAATCTCTGAAAATTTGATGGCAATCGGATGAAAACTCGAATTTTGCGAATCAATTTTGTGTGTGGCAATTTCATCGTGGACACCCTTTACGTTACGGAATGTAAGATCTACCACCGATTCCTAGTCTTGACTACTTCCAATTAGGGGAACAGAACACATCTTAGTCCTTGTCCTTGTTACTTTTTATGACTTGTTGATATACTGATAAGTCCTCGGGTTGCCTGGACCGAGGATGATCTTGAAACAAAGAAAAAACGAGTTAACTAGTCTTCACCTACGAACGAAAACCAATCTCTGATCACGTCTCCCTTTGGAAGGGAAGTAAAGCCGTTGGTCCCAAGTTTATGAGTTGATGGATTGATAGGTAGGGTCCAGGTGTGAGAGCTACCTCCCTGGCGTCGGTAGCATTGGTACTCAGTACGGAAAACAAGATCGAGGGAAAGCAAATTAAGGGAAAAAAAATCATAGAGGTTTGACTCTGTCTACATAATATATTCTGTTCTGTTCGTATGCGAACTGCTATCTTTACGAAGCGTTACGGTATGCGTGGATGATCCATTTCCAAAAAATATGTACTTCAATCACATATTCACTTGAAAAATTATATATATTGATGATCAACTAACATAAATTTATATTTTTCCTGAGAACTATTGCGGATTTTTTGAAAATCATTTTCAGAATCTTTTCATGTTGAATACACTTGCCCCGGTGCACCTTAAATATATATTTTTCTATTTGTACGAGGATTCTGAAAAAATTGGGTCGTATGAATAAAAAAGTTTACTTCACTGTCCCCATAAGAAAAGCACCGTAACATAAACTCATTTTATTCATACGGCCCATTTAAATGAAGGTCCATGTTTTACCGAACGTTAAGCTGTTAAGGTAATTATTTCTACACTCTTATAGTTTTATTTGCCGAGTCTCGTTAATTCTGCCATTACCGACCATCTCGGCATTATTTTTTACTGAAATCTCAGCAAAAGTGACGTTTGATTGCTGAGTCTAGGAAAATGTTTCTCTGAATCTAAGTAAAATTTATTGCCGAACTGCATGGTAGTGTCACAAATACCATGTTTCAACAAACTAATGTAAGCGTGTTAGTGCGTGTAAGAAATAGAATATCTCTAACTTAATTTCCAATTAAATCCAAACATAGGCTTTTCCATGCATCAATTCAATTGCAGTTCGATAATTTTTGCTACAAATTTTCAAACTCATACATTTCCAATATTCCTTTAGTCAACTGTTCATTGCAGCGATACCTAATCATTGGTGTAGGATACCGGAGCTTGAGCGATTACAACCATGGGCTGCAAAAATTGCCAAGGAATTAAGGTACGTTATTGAAAATATAGGCTGATTGTTGTTTTGGCCAAAACCCTTTTGTAAAACACTTGAATATATTATTTTTTGTTTCGTATCGTAGGTGCCCAAATTTTGTTATTTAAAAACATAGAAAATGTTTGCACGTTTGGGAAAGGTAAAACAAACGCAACTAATAGGAGACACTAAAGCATGATTAATTTAGAATTTGAACAACGTCAATGCAATATCTACTTTGGAGTATATACATACCATACCAATCAGGCTAAGGCATTGATGTCAGAAGAAGTCGTCTCTACCCTACTCGATCCACGGCCACACGGCGCAGGTCGCCTTTTACTTGGTCGATCCACCTTGCCCGCGCCCTGCGCGCCTCTTCTTCTTGTTCCAGTTGGGTCGCTATCGAGAACCATTTTCACTAGATCGTCGTCCGGCATTCTTACGACGTGCCCAGCCCACCGTAGTCACCCATCTTTTGCAGTGTTTGGTTATCCCAGCAGCTGATACAAATCGTGGTTCATTCGCCTCCTCCACGTACCGTCTTCCACCTGCACTCCATCGTAGATGGCGTCCTCCAGAGTCCAAAATAGGCACGATTCCCTGACATAATACGTCTTTGAATTTCTCTGTTGGTATCATTTTCGGTGACCACCTCGATTTCGTCACCGTCAATCTGAACGCGGCGTGGGAGTCTAGCATTGTCTTCCCTAGAACCTCTTCCTCTCATGTGTTTCGTCTTCAATGCTTTGATGGCAAGTCTGCCTGGCTTCAGTTTTCATTCTGATGTACGTATCCACCATCGTCTCATCAATGTCATCGGTGAATCCAAGAAGCAGGATGGGCTTCCTGAAGATCGTGCAACTCGTGTTTATCCCAGGTCTTCTTATCATACCTTCCAACGCGATGTTGATTAGCAGACACGCAAGTCCATCACCTTGCCGTTACCCACTTCGATATTCAAAGGGATTCGAGAGTGCCCCGATACTCGAACAACGCACATCACTCGATCCATCGTTGCCTTGACCAAAAGCATCAGCTTATCCAGAAATCCATACTCGTGCATAATCTACCATTGCTTTTTATAAATTGGTCGTACGACACCTTCCATCCACTCCTCTGATAATATCTCTTCCTCCCAAATCTTGGCTTCACTACCGTATTTTAACAGCACACATGGTAGTTGGTCAACACCAGCTGCTTTGTTGTTTTTCAACCGACCAACTTCTTGTAGATCATAACCGTACCACCTGCTGTCATAGTACTGCTTCCATCTCTCTATCACCCAACACTCGTTCGTGAGAAGATTACCTTCCAAGTCCTTGTACATATCGACATGCGGCACGTAGCCTTTGCATGAACTATTGAGCTTCTCGTAGAACTTTACGTGTGTCGTTTACGCGGCACAGCTGTTCCATTGCCACGTGATCTCGACCTTCTTGCTGGTCCTTCTTCCTTTGAAAATCGTGTTTTGTCTGTTCCGAGCTGGTCTGTACCGCTTTACATTCAATCTCGTGCAGTGCTGCATCATCTCACCCATGCTGCATTCTTCTCATCTACTAATAGTTTGCATTTGCTCAGTGATTTCTTCGGTTCGGGGTCGCAGTACCTAGTGCCGCTGAAATAGTACAACCTATAGCGGAACGGATGTTGCTCCAGCCATCTGTGCCAAGCTCAGAAACACTTTAAAAGAATGCGTTTTTCAGCATTTTATAAAAAATATTTTAAATAACATTTTCTCAAATTTTGGTTTTAGAAATGTGCAGCGAGATGGTGCTGCCGTCGTCTAAGTGATGGCATCCCCGACGTCAAGTGGTTTGCGGGCCAAAACGATTTGTAGCCGGTGGTAGTCCTGTAACAAAATGGATGAAAGTTTCATAAGCTAGAATGTTTAAAAAGCCGATTGTAAAAATATTGATTCTTGGCAAAATGGTGCGCGTTTGAAAAAAGTGGTCTGATTTTCGGCAAAAATATCAAATATAATCGTTAATTATATAAAAAAAAACTTTTACAGATAAAGATAAAAACTCAGGTAATTCACTAAAAAAAGAATGCAGAACAAATTACAACAAATTCAAGTCGATTAATTAATTAGAAATATGACTTTCGTTAACACCCGACTTGAAAAACATGGTTTCGAGAAAAATGCGATTAAAGATAAATTTCATGGTAGTCCCCTAGTATCCACCCTAAAATAATGCGAAAGAAAGTGTTTCCGGGGTTTTTTCCCTCAGTGTAGTTTTTGGCAAGTCAACCTCCTTTGAGTATTGTCTGTATTTGTTGTAAAAAGTTTACCTGTCAAACTGGTTTTTAATTTATCGGACTACTGTTTTCGCATTGTGGTGAATGTTTTCTGTGTCGAAGCATTAAAGTTAAAGACATTCCGTGAGATTTAGGTGCAGTAATTTGTGATTGTGTGTAGTGCCTTTGATCTTTTATTGGTCGTACGCATACATAGACAGTACCCCGCTGCGCACTTATTTTTTAACATCTGGCCCTCTGGGAGTGAATAGGAGAACTACATTTGAAGTCATCTCTTCTGCCTATATTTCGGCGTTCGCAATATTAATTCACCACTCAGGATGGCATGCACTCGTTATCAGAAAGTCATTTCGAAGACTGACCGTATAACTTGCCTTGGTTACTGTGGATGCTCATTTCGTGTGTTCTGTGCGCAAGTGGATCAACCGCTGCTTGAAACTCTAGGAGAGCACGCGCGCAATGTATTTTGGATGTGTGATGACTGCGCTGATCTGTTTTCTAGTGATCATTTCCGGAACATGGTCCAGCGCAGTTCTGTCAAAAGCATCGATGAGACATCAATTAGCTCGCTAAAAGATGACATCATCAAACTAAGCGATGCAGTTAGCGCGCTCTCAGCCAAGGTTGACGCCAAACCTCTAACACCTATGGCGAAGCTAGATTGGAAAAACGTTAATTGGACTACCAACTCGAACGCACCGAAAAGAAAACGAGATGAGGATTCTGCCATCAAAATTCCTACCATTCGAGGAACTAAGCCAACCTGTGAACTGGTGAATGCTGTACAGCTGGACGATACGGATGAGTTTGTGTGGATCTATCTTTCTGCATTCCACCCCAGTACGACAGAAGTGGAAATCGCGACGCTCACTAGGGACTGCCTGAGCATGGATATGGATGCCAAACCAAAAGTGATCAAGTTGATTCCAAAAGGAAAAGACCTAGCCAGCTTGAGTTTCGTTGCATTCAAAGTTGGAGTGAATATCACACTGAAGGACGTTGCACTCTCAAGTAGTTCTTGGCCGGAAAATGTGTGCTTCCGTGAATTTGAAAATCACTCAAAAAACGAGAGGCGAATCGTCAGTATCAACCAACCTGTGAACGGCTCGGAGAAATTAGCGTGAAATGGATATCCACACCAGAACACACTGCCTACCGTATTAAGGAAGCCCCTGATCCACTCGACCCAGACGTGCTTCCTGGTTCCTGTCGTCGTAGTCGTTCTGGACCTGAGGTCGTAGTTGGTGACGGGGTCTTCCAACCGCTGTTTTCAGCCAACTTTCTGTTTCACAATATTGCTCCATCTACCGAACCTGCTGCATCCAGTACCGATCACCGCACCTACAAACCAGAACGCACTGCCTGCCGCCTCATGGAAGCCCCTGATCCCCTCAACTCAGGCGAGCATGCTGGTTCCTACCATCATAGTCGTTCTAGCCCTGTTGTTGAGGGTGGTGACGGGGTCTTCCAAACTTCAATGTCAGGCAAGTATGACTGCAATCGAAGCAATCCGGAACCTGACTTGCTCCCAAGTTTCAGCTCTGTTCGAGTGAATGCTGCAAACGTTAGTTCCCGTTCAATTGACCGGAATGGCAGAGAAACCACAACCGACACGATAGTTGCTTCGTGTGATCCGGAAAAATCTCAACTACATTTTTATTATCAAAACGTCCGAGGGCTTAAAACCAAAATCACCAACGTCTTCCAGTTTTGATGTGTTTGTTTTCACGGAAACATGGCTCGACCACCGAATTAAATCATGTCAATTGTTCGGTGATGGATTCAGCGTTTATCGAACCGATCGTTCTGCTTTGAACAGTACCAGGACACGTGGTGGAGGTGTTTTAATAGCTGTTTCTAAAAAACTCGAAGCAGCTTTAGTGCAAACCTCTTCGGGTGCAAGCATGGAGAGCATATGGGTAAAGATCTCATCCGAAACAAGGTCTATCTTCGTTCGTGTTACATACGTACCACCAGAGACGTCCGCTGATTGCGAGTGCATCCAATCTCACGCTAACATTGTTTCGGAAATTAATGAAATGATGGGTAGCAATTATGGGATCATCTTTTTCGGGGATTTCAATCTGCCTCGAATCGTCTGGAAATCAGTGAACAGTGAACAACGTCTACGCATTTGCTGATCCTCTTGCATCAATTTTTTCTCAAGCTTGCCGCATTCTTCTGGACAGCCTTGCTTTTGGAGGGTTGGGACAACGAAATATGATACGCAATCACTTGGACAGAACGCTTGATTTGATATTTTCGAACGACTGCATGACAGATTGCAGTTCAGTTGATGAGGCCCCGGAGTCGGTTGTGGATATCGATCCTCATCATCCAGCTCTTGTTTTCACGGTGTATTGTTCAGCAATCTTTCCATTTGTTGACAACGTCGATGAACATGATCGTGACTTTAGTAAAGTTGATTATGACGCACTCAACTCTATGCTTTCTCAAGTTGATTGGTCTACTGTTTGTCGGTGTAGCAACGTAGATGATGCTGTTAGTTGCTTCAACAGTATACTGCACGATTGCATCACATTCTGTGTTCCGTTGTCAAGACCTAGGAGAAAACCTGCTTGGTCCAATTCTCGCTTACAGTACCTTCGACGTATTCGTTCTAAGATGCTTAAACGCTTCTCGGGACGCAAAAATGGCATCACCAAACTGGCGTTTGCACTAGCTAGTCGCAACTATCGGAGCTATAACCGTTACTTGTACGGCGGATACGTAAGACGTGTTCAGGACAATCT